AGGAAGCATTTTGAAATCCTGAACTTCATAGATAGGGGATTAAATAAATGCATAAGCTTCCCAAAAACAAAGCCATATAGTATCTGCTTCCTGGTGGTCAACGTAACTGCCAAAGACCAAAAAAAAACAGAAGAAAGTAAAAAAGATATCAGAACAACGGTGTGCACTGAGGCCAATCATGAAAACCCACAGCAGAATAGTGGTATGAATTGACAAGAAAGAAGAGAAGCTAATTCAAAGAAGGACAAAACCTCAGGAAGGAACAAAGAATTCCATAGAATCAAGGGAGGACTATAGCAGTTTAGGTGAGTTTGGAGTTTTTGTTTTTTTTAAAAAAAGGTGTCCCAAATTCAACCTCCAATATTTCTGGATTGAGCAGAAATGACTTCCTCTGTAACTTCCTGACAGTGAGGACAATTAAGCAGTGGAACCGCTTGCCTCCAGAAATCGTGGGTGCTCCATCAGTGAAGATTTTTAAGAAGAGGCTACACAGTCACTTGTCTGAGATGGTATAGGTTCTCCTGCTTGAGCAGGGGGCTGAACTAGAAGACCTCCAAGATCCCTTCCAATTCTATTCTATTCTATTCTATTCTATTCTATTCTATTCTATTCTAGTCTAGTCTAGTCTAGTCTAGTCTATTCTAGTCTAGTCTAGTCTTTGAGAGCCAGTTAGTGCCAATGGAATTGAGCTAATGGAGCAGCTTCCAATGCTGCTATTATATCAGCATAGTTATCCTGTGTCCCAATGGGAAAGGAGGAGCTTCTCTCTCTTATCTTTGCACTCCTGCCCAGTTACCTCTTTCCCTTGCCTCACTTCCATCCTCCACCCCTTTTTTTTAACTTGCCTACTGCAAATGCAACAACCACTTCATTGTTCCTATCTCTGTTCTGTTCAGGTTTCTTTCTTGCTTGCCTGCTGGATGAGGTCTGTGTGGGCACTGCTGTTTTTGTATGTCCAAGAGTAGATTGTGTGTGAGAGAGAAAAGTTGGTTGTGCACATGTGGATCAATTAATTTTATAACTGGAATATCTCATTCTGCAGATAATTAAATAGTAATTAATTAAATTTGCTGCCTTTTTGGTATGTAGTTTCTTGCGGTTGCATATAACTCATAGACACATTCTATGTGGGTTGCTTTCTACATACACTTCCTTGGAGTATGAGGATTAGTAATAAATTCATATCTTCCTTTTGGGTAAATGCAATAGGGGCAACATAAGTGAATTTAGATTTATATTAAGTACAGAATGCATCAAAGGTAATAATATAAAAATATTTTCAAAGATAGCAAAGAAACTGAAAACAGACAGCCAAGATTTAAACTTATTTATGATTAATGGCCCAAGATTAAGCCAAAGCTCTTATTTATAATTTATGATGCTATATATTAATTTACCGGAACAGAGGCTATTTTATATATTTAATTTATAATTTACCATTCTAGCTCATAGAAGCTTACATCAATTACCTATTTCATCAATGTTCTCATTCTCTCCCCAGAGGGCATTGTAATTTTTTCCATGTAAGAGCTAAAGAATACTGTAACCATAAACCAAAGAAGAGGAATTTAAGCTGAAAAACAATTCCTTTCTACACATGAGCAGTTTATGATTACTTGCTTTTCTACAGCATAAAACTTTCTTGCATAAATTCTGTTCATTTTTCTACTGTCTACTATAAGTTTGTACGTTCTCAAGTCATAAGCAAGTCAGGCACAAAAGGGAAGTGGATGAACCCACCAAAATCTTTTTCTCTTTATCACTGTGTAAATGTACTTGCTAGAAAATGTGTCAACCTGCCATCTTGTTGTTACCCTCCTATATCTTAAAGCAGTTTGAAATTTAAGAAATTAAATTGAATAATACAATGAAAAATGTATGATCTTATATGAGATCAGATAGTCATTAAAAAAGTAGAGGGGGAACTCTTTATGCAAATCCACAGAGGCAAGGCCTAGATGAAAAGCTAGACAATTGATGGCTTTGGGAACATCCCCAAGCCATCCACTTGATCTTTCTAAGGGAGTAAAAACTCATTTAGAATAGAACCATATACAGAACAGAATTATCCTTGTTTTGATTCTCTAGCTCCCTCTGTTGCTTGCTAAATGGGATCAGTGGGAAGAGGGCTGCCATTTTCGTATGGCTCACCTCACTAGCCTGTCACAGGACATGCACCTGTGACCTTGAATGTTCCACCTTCATAAATCTTCATTTTCTGTGTTCTATTGTGATCAGACACACACCTAACAGAGAATAAAACTCAAAAGTCTTGAGAAATATTTGGGTGGGAAGAGGGAGAAGAGATATCTATGTTTGCGCTCCAGTGATTCAATTTGGAAAAACGTGTATTTTGCAAGGCCTGAAAATCAAATCCATACACTGAAACCTCAAACTCTTTTCCTGAAAATAAAAATGCTTAGATTTTGACCACCTTAATTCATTATGCACACGCTCCTTCTGCAAGGTTGCCAAATCTAAACTCTGGCAAAGTTCCAGTAGTGAATTTCTCCAGGCCCAGTTCTTTTCATCTCAGGCTGTGGTGACAGAAGAAATTGTATTTGGTAGAATTTCCTACCCCATGAAATTCAGAAGAGTACAGCCCTAATTACAGCCTGTTAACCCAACTTCTAGTTATCATAAATGGTTTAGGAAGTTGATAACTATGACATACACTGTGGCTCAAGCACTGCCCTAAGACAGATGCAACTGATTGCCTTTGATTTAGCATGTTGTGTGAATCTCGATCTGGCTAATTGAACAAGTCATACTTCAAACTAATCATGACACAGTCCCATATGTGATTCCAGCAATTGCTTAATTAAAGAAGTAGCATAAGTGGAATCTAAATATTTGTAGACATCTTGTAAATACATCCAAGTCAGCAGCACTAAACTGGAGTAAAATTCATACAACTACATGGGGAAACATGTCCCACACCATTTGGCCAACATCCTCATTTTGTTCTATATAGCAGCAAAGAATTCTTCCATTTATCATATAGCCACAACATTTGTTAGAACAGGAGGAGGAGAAAGTTTTAATCCAATGTCAATTAATGATTTAATGTTTTTTTTTATTTATTTTGAGGCCTTGATTTGAATTCAGGCCAGGCCTGAAGATTCCTCTGGTCAGACAGCTGGAAAGTCCACTGAAAGAAATCATGCAGGTGGTCTTCCAGTTCAGTTTGCAGTGAAAATAACCCAGTGAAATACCTTAATGAATGCAGCCACCCACACTGGGCACCCTTTAAAGTAATTTTAGAAGCAAATTGAAAAACAGCCTCCAATAAATCTAAGAGCTAATTCTCCATGCCAAGATAAGTACAACATTAAGAAGGATTAGTTAACTGGAAAGAGCTTGTTACTATATACCTTCCTCCTTAACAGCAAATAAACAATATTTAAAATATGACTGATAAGTATGAATAAATTGTAGCTGTTCAGTCTATTTATTAGTGTTTTAAAAGGGTACATTGACCTGCTACATCAAGAGAAAGAGAGAGAGAGAGAGAGAGAGAGAGAGAGAGAGAGAGAGAGAGAGAGAGAGAGAGAGAGAGAAAGAGAGAACTCTAGGAGTTGACACTCAAAAAGAAGATTTTAAGAAACTGATTTTGAGTATCCTCCCATATGTATCTCCACATCTCCCTAGAATTCTTTGTTTTTGGATCAGAAATGGAAAAAAAATTATACTTATGGCAACCACAGCACTAGGACTATACAGAGAATGTCAAAGCATAGTCTATGATGGTATGTGGTGAAGATCATGCCTTAGAAAAACCTGTTATTAAAATGATTTGGGTGATGTTGGGGGTAGATGGAATCAAGTTGGCTGTAACTGAACTGGCTTGAAATAATAAATATGCACACTTTATTTAAACACAGCTTGCCACAACTTGAAAAATCTGGAATCAATTCCTTCACTTTCAAAATGCTTAAAAGTTGTGGAACTTTGATATGTGTTTGCTTCTGGGTTTACAGTCCTAGCCAGTCTACTCCAGACCTTTCAGCTAGAATATTTCAAGGCAGCAAACCTAATCAAACAAAAGAGAGAAAAAACCCAAAAATCCAGGAAACTATTACATGAATTGCTGTAGGGCTCAACTGAATGAAAGGAATTTTATCATCCTAACGTGGATTCACCATCACATTCATATTATTACCATTTGAACATGATTATGTTCCTTCTTCCACCATCTAAAAATGGGGATGTTAGACTGAGTTGAGAATTTGGCAACATTCACAATTTCTTTATGAAAAGAGATAGAAAATAATATAAATAAAATATCAAATAATGCAGAACATGAAACTGCAAATTCCTTCAATCTAAGAAAAGGAAGAGGAGGGAGGCGGGCATGGCATCTTTCATTCTCAGCAGCATTCTGCCCCTATCGGGATAGTTTAAGAGCCACCAACATCCGTTCATAATCTGTTTTAAGCAAGGTTTACCCAAAGGTCCGGTTAGCTGAGCAATCAATATTATTCTATTACAACCCTGCAGTTGGCAGTTGGAAGAAAACTCCCTGCAGCTTAGACATATTCAGCAATCAAATCCATATCCAAATTACTATAAGAAAGCAACATGAGAAATTAAAAAAACTAAAAATAGCTCGCAAATGCTCACTATATCTTAGTAATAGTAATAGTAGTAAAGTTGGAAAGGACCTTGGAGGTCATCTAGTCCAACCCCCTGCTCAGGCACAAATGGCAAAAATATTTCTTCTCTTATCTATAAAATACACTATGTATACATGCTCCAACTAAACATGCCCATTTGAGTGGCCGTTTTCATATGTCTAATGAACTGCGAAAAAGTGAGAGAGGAGAAACTGGAGGCAGCATTTACCCTGAGAAGGCTGAGGATTGGGGAGGAAGCAAGGGGGAAAGGATGCATACATTTGACGTGGAGAAGTAAAGAGAATGTTTAATCATCAGAGAAAGACAGTATTCTATAGGTCTGCAGAGGAAGCAGACACAGTGGCTTCTCCTCTCACAACTCACTGTTATTGTCCTGCTGCTTTGTGTTTTTGATAAATGCAGAGAATTTGGAGAATATGTCTATGCCTGCAGTATTGGATTCACGATGCTTGGCTGCAAGCTTAGGATATCTGTAAATAGAAAGAGATTTTTTTAAAAAAAAAATAATAATAATGTTCCTAGGAAAGTAAAAACAAAACTTTAAAAATACATGCACAAAAAGATACACTATTAAAAGACACATTTTGTTCCTGGCAAGTGCTGCTTGAACATGAAGCAATGTTTCTGTGGACCAATTTTTGTTTTAAAACTGCCTCTTATCTCAGCAGGTCAGCCTTACAGGACCCTGCTGAGAATGATTGGTGCCACGGGAAGCCAACTAATTTTAAGTCACACCGCCATGGTTTTATGACAAGGTTAATTGCACCAATGCTTAAAGTCAAAGAAACCAAAGAACTGTAATTTTATATCAGAATAAGCCATATATCTTTGATGATATGGAGGAGTTTGGCAGTACACAGCTTCATTTCATTGTAAATGTAGCCTGTTGCTTAATTCCCTCTAGAGAAAAATCAATCCAAGCTATAATAGTTCTTTTCTGTGTAACAACAGAAAAAAAGTGGAGGAGGGCTCCCAGTATGTGTGCACTTAAAGAGATGTGTGATTAAAGTTCTACATAGAAATAGAATTTGAAAAGTGCATTGTAATTCTTAAAAAGTTTCCTGTGGGCTGAGAATCAGAATCTTAAAAGATTAATCACGTTTTAGTATCTGTTGCCAGCTGCCACCGAAGACTATTGAATAAAATTTACAACTTGTAGTTCCTGAAATCAAATGCAGTTATTCTACAGACCATAAAAGTGTTGGTGAGTGATGTCATGTTATATACTGGGGAAGATGTATCCCACAACTCAGCATGACATAAATACTCATACCTACATATGCTGGGTCTAATACGCTTGAATGACATTCAGCTACTGGAGAAATGAACTAATTATGTACTCTATTTGGACGATGAATCTGAGTTTATTTCCCAATTGGAAATCCAGGAACTATGGTTTAATATGAAATAAGATACTTCAGATGAAGATTCTTAAAAATAGAAGAACTCATAGCTAAGGTTTCTGGCCATCAACTCAAATTCAGATAACTATAACTTCAGAGGATAGAGAAAAGAGATATACACTTAGATTTATAATCTGACTGACCAGCTATGAGAAAGGCAGGCTAATTATAAGCAAAGTTATTAGTATATTTGTCATTTACTTTAATATAGTGCCTGGCAATCTTAAAGTAACTATAGCAAAATATTTCAAAAACAAAGATAATATATATTACTTTGGAGGTGATAGAGTTTCCTCCAAAAATTCCTCAATCTTGTTAACATCAGTCTTGACTTCTCCGTTAAAAGTCAAAAATGGTGGGTGGGTCCCCGGAGCTAAATTATGTAAATCAGCAGGCTTTCTGTGGAAACCAAGAAGAATACATTATTATATGTTTAATCATGTATGCTCTTATATTATTATTATCGATCATCGCACAGTCAGCCAGATGTTCAGACTGGATTTGGCATTTTGTCTACCTATCGAGTCCTTACCCAGGACCTGGGATAGGCAGATGTGGATGTTTGATGGTATTACAGATATCGTCGCAGGATGGAAGCAGTTCCTAATAAGGCCGCCTTTTGCAATTGACTAATAGCGAATTTGTCAATGCCAATGGTGTTCAAGTGGTGCTCCAGTTGTTTTGGGATTGCACCCAAGGAGCCTATTACTATTGGTACTACCCTTGCTTGCTTTTGCCACAGTCTTTCTATTTCTATTTGTAGGTCTTTGTATTTTGTTATCTTCTCCAGTTCTTTCTCTTCTATTCTGCTGTCTCCAGGCACTGCCACGTCCACTATCCAGACTTTTTGTCTTTCTTATCGACAATTGTTAAGTCTGGGGTGTTATGTTGCAGGTGCTTGTCTGTTTGAATTCTGAAGTCCCAGAGCAGTTTAATTTTATCATTTTCTATGACTTTCTCTATTTTATGATCCCACCAGTTTTTGCTTACAGGCAAATGATATTTTTTGCAGATCTTCCAATGCACCATTGTTGCTACTTTGTCATGCCGCTGCTTGTAGTCAGTCTGTGCAATCTTCTTGCAACAGCTTACCAAGTGGTCCACTGTTTCTTCAGCTTCTTTGCATAGGCGGCACTTACTGTCTGTTGCTGTCTTCTCAATTTTGACTTTGTATGCATTTGTCCTTAAGGCTTGGTCTTGTGCAGCCAGAATTAGTCCCTCGGTCTCTTTCTTCAATTTTCCTGCTCTTAGCCATTGCCAGGTTTTATTGTTATCTGCTTTCCCAGCTATTTTTTTCATGTATCGGCCATGTAGTGCTTTTTCTTCCCATGCCTCTATTCTGTTCTTCATTTGGTCTTTCTTGAAGGCCAGTTTGGTCTCTCCAGTAGTTAGTAAGCCTTCCTGATATACTAATTTCAGTGCATCTTCATCATTGTTCTTCAGATATTCTTCCAAAGCCATTTTTTCTTCTTCAACCATCTGATGTACTTGTAGCATTCCACGCCCACCTATTTGCCTTGGTAGATAAAGTCTATCAATGTCACTGCGTGGATGAAGGGCATGATTCATTGTCATTATTTTTCTGGTCTGCCTATCCATTGCTTTTAGTTCTGCTTGAGTCCAGTCCACTATTCCAGCTGTGTACCTAATGACTGGGATTGCCCAGGTGTTGATTGCCTTTATGGTATTTCCTCCATTGAGTTTGGACTTTAAGATCTTCTTCACTCTCTTGATGTATTCACCTCTAATCTTTTTCTTGACTTCAGTGTGCTTGATGTTGTCAGCTTGAAGGATACCCAAGTATTTGTAGTACTCTTCCTCATCCAGACTCTTAATGTTATTTTCGTGGGGCATCTTGATTCCTTCAGTTTTCACTATTTTTCCTTGTTTGATAGTAAGTGTGGCACATTTGTCCAAGCCAAACTCCATTACAATATCTTGGCTATATATACGGACAGTGTTGAGCAGCGATTCTATTTCAGATGATGTTTTTCCATACAGCTTCAGATCATCCATATAAAGGAGGTGGGATAGTCTGGCAGATGTTTTTGATGTTTGATAGCCATGTCCTGAGTTATTCAGTATTGTTGACAGAGGAAACAGTGCAATAACAAATAGTAATGGTGATAATGAATCTCCTTGAAATATTCCTCTCTTGATATTAACCTCTCCCAGCCTCTCACCATTGATCTGCAACTGTGTCTTCCATTGTGCCATCGATCTTTGCACAAATTTTCTGATGTTTCTACTGACTCCTGTTATTTCTAGGCACTTTATTATCCAATCATGTGGCAGAGAGTCAAATGCCTTTTTGTAGTCAATCCATGCCACATTCAGGTTGGTCTTCCTTCTCTTGCAGTTTTCCAAGATCATTTTGTCTATTAGGAGTTGATCTTTTGTTCCTCTGCTGTTGGGGCGGTTTCCTTTCTGCTATTATTATTATTATTATTATTATTATTATTATTATTATTATTATTATTATTATTTTCATATTATTCCTCTTTTGTAATGATTCAGTTCTTTGTCTCTTTCTGAATAGCATATCTTAATAAGTCCCACATAATTAAAAAGGATAAGATTTTCTTATTAATATGAGAAAATCAAGATTCCTAATAAAGATGGGAATAAACTAATGTAATATCATTATACAAACATCTTTCCAAGAGAGTCAGAAACTTATAGTATTACTTTAATTGATAACATTTACCTTTTCAGATCAACGGTGGTTACATTGAATACAACCCCTTTGAGCCAAAGTATCATGAAAAGACGCTGTGAGAATGGACAGTTCCCAATACTCTCTCCATCTATGCCAGCCTATAGATAATAGGAAATCAACAGAGAATTAAACAATTAATTACTTTAAGAGAAAACAGCTTGACTTAACGATAAAAGTAAACCCAGGATTCCTTTAAGATAGCTACATGGATTCTTTCGATTAATTTTATTCTGTGCATATAAATCTTTTTTTTTTTCCAAAGAAAACTCCGGCTAGAACAGAGGTATTACCGTATATTCCGGCGTATAGGGTGACTGGGCGTATAAGACGACCCCCAACTTTTGAGAAGATTTTCAGAGTGTAGAAAGTCATCTTATACGCCAGAAAATACAGTACAATATTGAATTTCTGTTTATAGATTAACACAATAGGAGTTCCTTTGCTGCTAGAAAGCTTTGTCCTCTAGTGCTTATTTCTGTAAAAAAAAATAGGGCTGGCCACTAGGGGGCAGATTGGTTTTAAATTCAGAGAACAGCTACCCGTATATTCCTGCGTATAAGACGACCCCTGACTTTTGAGAAGATTTTCAGAGTTTAGAAAGTCGTCTTATACACCGGAAAATACGGTACATATCATTGCCAGCCAATGTATTATAAACTGGCAGTGAGCATTCTCAAGACTTGGAGAGGATGGAGCAGATGTTGTAAACAGCTATTAAGTAGATATAACATTAGGCTTCAAGTCAAGTTCAGGCAAGGAAAAAGAACGAAGGGAAATTAGGCTTTTTAGGAAAAAAGAGAAAGAGAGCATTCACTTAAAAAATTCCTATACAAAGTCCAAGATGTTAGGTATTTCTGTTGTAATTGTTGCTGCTTCCAAGCTGGCCCATTGTTGTCTGCTCACAGGTCTCTTTTTCATTTTGGGCATATGGAGACCCTGGGAGTGACAAATAAAAAACACTCTATAAAAAACAGGAAAAGAACTTCTTTGTCATTTGTCTCGCCTTCTCTCATCAGTAAATAATTTATTGATTTGCCTAATGTCAACTAAATGAAAATCCTTTGACAGCTGGTGTCTGATTTCTGCCGAGAATGTAAAAGGAAGCTTTTGGAATCTGACCAAATAAGAGTGACGAGGGAAAGAACTGTAAACAAAAGAGTAACTGAGCCCATGGACAGTAGATAGAAGGCTTAGAAATCCCATCAGCTGTTCAAAGTGGTCTCCAAATGTCAGGTGGGGTGAGGAGAGAAAATATTTGAATGAGTGAGTAAGTAAGTCTACTGCAGGCAAAAGCAATATTGTAGAGATAGACTGAAGTATGGATATTTTGAAAAGTTGGAGAAAAGAGTTCCTTAAAAGATCACAGAAAACATTCCTTTCCTCCAGGAAAAAGAAGCAATGTGCCATGTCTGGATGTTTGAATGATGGTACAAAGGAAAAGGCTCCTAAAAGGGAAAGCATCAGAAAAAGACAGAAACATTAGTTGATTCACTGGGACAAATAAATTATTGTATATGGAATCTTATTGTGGCAGGTAAAACTTGTTAGGAAGACCTTCCTATTTCTACTTAAACTTCTGTGTCCTCACTCCTGCCCAACTCAAGCTCTCTTGTGATCTGAGAACATGCATTTCTTTCTGCCCTTCGGATCTGTGATGCTGTTAAGAACCTGCTCCTCCTTTTCACTGGTTTGCTAGTTTATTTTTGGTTAGAGCTTTTGGCTACCACTCCTTTCCCCTCGCATTGTATTCTTCCTCTTTTCTTCATATATCACCAATCTGCTTTTGCTTCTCTCCCTAATTCACTAATCTGGCATACCCTTTGACTTGTAAATATGCTCTATCATGCTCTATGGAAGCTTGCTAATTGAATATTCATTCCCTTGTCCGGTTCTGAACTGGCTAGCCCTGTTGTAAGGACCCACTTCAACCCACATCTTAAGAAAGCAGAACTCTTGGAAACAATCTCTTCCAACAGGAACTTTTATGAAGAGTAGTTGATAGCAGGCATAATAGACAGGATCTGAGGGATTCCTTTATAGATCGATGTTTTAAAATATCCCTAAGCAAACCCCATCCCACAGTTCTTCTGGGTGGTTCAGACCGGCAAATCCCCAGGTGTTAAATCCAGGAAAGATAACATCAGTCTGGCTCCATTCTGCATGATCATTCAACAGCTCTTCACACCTTGTTTTGATGACAGAGAAATAAACCAGATCCCAGAGGTTTGTATCTCTTCACCCCCTTTTCCTAGCTGCCCGGTAGGGAGGAGAAATTCATAGGGAGGCATAGGATAGGAGGCAATTTGTTACATTGTAACGGTTAGCAGACACAAAGGCGAATAAACAAAAGGTTACTTTGTAGTGAATAGAGGAAGTGAAACCCGCATGCATGTCCCCCCTCCCCCTTGGGAGTATGGCAGGATCCAGGGAAGGGTACAAATTGATTTTAGATCAGAGAAGATAGATAGAAAGAAAATATAACTGGATTCTGACACCTATTTGTTTATTGGTATGATTTTGTACTGATAAATCTAAGTTGGAGGTAGAATTGAATGTTCAAAGCAAAATTATTAGAAGCATCTCTCTTTTATGTATACTTTTTTCCTTTCATAGAAAAATTTGGTTTTGATATTAAATATTAAGAAAATTAGATAGAGGTCAGTTTGATTCACAAAAGCTGCTGAGCATTGGCTCAAGAATTGAAAAAACAACCCTATACATTTAGAGAACATAAAGTGTTTTTTATTCAGTTGGCTCAAACTGTATTTGAAATATTTGATCCTAGGTTTTCCAAGTTATAATTGTTCTTTTCTTATATTATTATAAAACATATCTATATAATCCTTTATGTTATTTGGATATAGTTGCATTTGTACAGAACTGACTAAAGATTAGTAACAATAATGTTTAGATAAAAGATAAAAGGAGAAAAATATTAAATAATTATTAATTATGATTTAAAATATCAATGGTTATGGTAAGACTATTTAGCTTTTTATCAAAAATTGAATGTGACATTTCAAAAAATCCTGCAGATTGTATCAAAATATTTGCTATGCAGTAAAGGCTTTTGTCTTCAGATGATTACTTAGTATTAATGTCTCCACTCTATTGTTACTTAATATTATATTCTAATTAAATATTAGAAATCTGAACAGATAATTAAACGTGATTTCACATGTTTGATTACACAAAATCAACTAGCTGCTATCACTGTCACAACTCTTTCAAAGTTTCTGCTCCTAAGAGTCCAGCTAGGAACACTCCTTCAGACTCAAGGACACATTGCACAGCTTTAGTTATGTTCCGAAATACTGGCTAAAAGTATTTTTGTGGGGTGAATAGAGATTCTGTGGTGGAATATAATCTTGCTTTCGAGAAGGGAGAGGCTGCTTTCCAGAGACAAAGAGTCAGCGAAGCTTGGAAAGCAGGAAGAGAGTTAAAACGGATCAACTCTAGACGTTCCAAGGGTATATCTGCAGTTATGCAAATAGTTGCTTTAATATGACAAGATTCTGTCTGCAGTTGAAGAACAATAAAGGAAACCACTCATAAGTGATACTGGAGGTTTTAAAGACGAGATTGGACAACCATTTGTCTGAAATAGTATAGGGTTTCCTGCTTGAGTAGGATGTTGGACTAGAAGATCTTCCAACTCTATTATTCTGTTATTCAGGTGTGGTTCTTGGGGCCTGACAGATTCTTAAACCAGGTAATCCTTGTCAACAAGTTTTGATTCCTCATGGAAAAAACATAGATTTGTCTTTTTGTAGATTCCTATCTAATCCTTGAGAATACTGTAGCCTAAGGGTTTTAGAAAAGCAACATGTCCCAGATAGAAATTTGCAGAACAATAACAGCAGAATTTATTACCCCTGTAAATTTGGGTCCCCCCCCCCACTATTCCTACAGGGCACTTATGACATCTCTGCTGTTCTCACCATAGACATTTACTTTCATCAGGCTTCATCAAGATTCTGGAAGGGGAATAAAGTAACCTTTCCTTTGAAGACCTAACTGTCCCGGTACTTGAATCTGTGTGCTTAAATCAGTGTTACCTATTTGCTGAGCTGCCCATACAGGGCCCCCAGAATTAATACCACCCCTTCGAACTGCTCTAGTTATTCTATGAAAGTAATACTCTGATTTCCTATTACCTGATAAATTCTTTGGAAATTCAAAACAGATTCAAAATATAAAGAAACTCTAAGTATACATAAAATCTGACAGACTGCCTTCTATGTTAAAAAGCAATTAATTACCCGTTTTACCTTTTAGGCCTTTTTACTTTATTGTACGGTTTGCTGCTGGATGTTTTAAACAAAATGTTGACCTGCAACCATAAATAAATTTAAATTGAAGTGAATTATATGGCTGGATGCTACTGATCAACAGACTACATTCTTCTGTTTCCTTGCTCCCAACTTGATATTTTCTTTCTACGGAGAATTGAGGGACAGTTCAGAAATATATTGAGTGGACAGGAACCAAAACAGCACTCTTTGAAGCGCTGAAATGATTCCAAATCTTTGATAAAAGACATATTGGAAGAGGTTGGAATAACTTTGATGTGTCCGTTTTGGTTACTAACTGAAGATTCAGCCAAAGCAAATGCTTACTGCATGTAAGAGTGACTGTGTGTCAACGATCAAACGTTTTTTGATATTGGCAGCCATGGGCTCATGCCAAGGTCAAAGCACACCAATATAGCCAATGCTCTGTCAGCTACAGACCGAAGGGATGGAAATACTCTCCTAAAATATAGCTCCCTTTGCAGGAAAACAGAAATTAATTTAGAGCAGATCTCATGCTATCCATATTTCTGCCCTAATTTGGGGATGTGGTGGGAGACTGTAAGAGGATTGGATCCAAAGCTCCTTACCACCCTATCCAGGACTCTACATTTCCTTTCATAACTTTCCAAGATTGGAATTTTCCAACCTCATAAAGCACCAGGGAAGAAATCTCTAACCTTGTAGAGAGATGAGGGCTCTCCATTGCCTTGGTCTCAAAGGCCACATAATGGCAGTCTAGATAGCATTACCTGTTAATTATCAAGCACTGAATGTATCAAAAGATCACCCTTTTAATTGACATT